GTTAACAGCGGAGGAGGTCCGTGCAGCGCCCAAAGTCATGGCTGGTGTGTATTCTGTTACTATTTGTTTATGATGAGATCTTGTGTTTATATTATCATATGCGTAGGTACTTTCCTTGTGAATTCTGTACCTGCTTTGGTGTTTTTTGACTCGGATGCGAGTCGGTCATTTGTTTCATTAGCGTTCAGTAGACACATCACTATCCAACGAGAGGCGATGAGTCGACCTTTATGAGTTTCTATAGCTAACGAGCGAGCAGTGTATGCCACGGACGTGATTCGAGGATGTGTGCTTGATATTTTCAGCGTTGAGTTTCCGATAGATCTGGTCCTGATTGCGATGGGGGACGTATGTGTCATCGTGGGCATGGATTGGTTGAGCCGATTTGGGGCTGTGATAGACTGCGAGCAGCAATTGGTGACGATTCAAGATCCTAGTGGTGGAGTGCTGACAGTCTATGGCGAGGGAACTCAAAGTGGGTCAGCATTCTGTTCGGCTGCCAGAGCGAGGCAGAGTTTACAGCAGGGCTGCAAGGGGTTCGTAGCTTATGTAATGGATACAAGGATTGATTCAAGGAGACCGAGATCAGTTGGCGAGGTTCTGATAGTGTGCGAGTTCCCAGATGTTTTCCCCGAGGAGTTATCGGGTGTGCCTCACAAGAGGCAGGTAGAGTTCCATATCGATTTGGTTCCGGGGGCAGCACCTAGCGCCAAGGCGCTCTATTGCCTTGCACCTCCAGAGATGCAGGAGTTATCCTCGCAGCTTGAGGAGCTGTTGGGGAAGGGGTTTATTCGGCCAAGTAGCTCGTCGTGGGGAACGCCGATCCTTTTTGTCAAGAAAAAGGATGGTTCGCACCTTGGTTTACCAAGATAGATTTGAGGTCTGGATATCACCAGATGAGGGTGCGTGATGAGGATATCCAGAAGACGGCGTTCAGGACGCGATATGGGTACTATGAGTTTGTGGTGATGCCTTTTAGGCTCACCAATGCACCACCAACGATCATGGATCTCATGAACAAAGTATGCCGGATGATGTTGGATCGATCGGTAATCGTGTTTATTGTTGATATTCTAGTGTATTCTATATCTCGAGAGCAGCATGGGGAGCATTTGAGGGAGATCCTCGAGGTATTGAGGTCAGAGAGGCTTTATGCCAAATTCTCCAAGTGTGATTTTTTGTTACAAGAGGTCCAATTCTTGGGGCATCTTGTTAATCAAAGTGGGATATTGCTCGACTCGACCAAGATTGAGGCGGTGATGAGTTGGGAAGTGCCAAAGTATGCCGTAGAGATCATGAGTTTTCTGGGGTTGGCCGGGTTATTATCGGAGATTCATTTAGGATTTCTCCAAAATTGCAGTGCCACTCACTAGGTTGACCCGAAAGGGTGTTTCTTTTTCATGAGGTCCGAAGCAGCAGACTTCGTTTGAGAGTCTTCGCCAGAAGTTGTACGAAGCCACAGTGTTATCCCTTCCAGAGGGAGTTGAGAATTTTGTGGTATACTGTGATGCATTGATATCAGGGTTAGGTTCAGTGCTTATGCAGAGGGGGGCATGTGATAGAAAATGCATCGAGGCAGCTGAAGCCTCATGAGGCGAGGTATCCCACTCACGATCTGGAGTTGGGAGCGGTAGTGTTCACTCTCAAGATCTGGCGCCACTATTTGTATGGGGTTCGGTGTACCATTTACACAGACCACAAGAGTTTGAAGTATTTGATGGATCAACACAACCTGAATATGCTGCAGAGGAGATGGCTGGATGTGGTGAAGGATTACAATTGTGAGATCTTGTGCCACCCGGGCAAGGAGAATGTGGTAGTCGATGACTTGAGTCAGAGGGCAGAGAGTGTTCCGATACGAGGTATATGTAAGAGAATGACCGTGATGACTCCGATGTTAGATATCATTCGTGAGGCCCAAGCAGAGGTTGTAAGACCGGATAACTGCAAGATGGAGCAAGTGATTGGGCATGTATATAAGTTTGTGACTGATAGCCGATGGCTTATGACTTTTCATGGTTGGATCTGGGTGTTGTTTATTGGTGGGGCACACAATGTTTTGATGGAGGAGGCGCATAGAACGAGATTCTCGATCCATCCCGGGGCCACAAAAATGTATTTGGATCTAAAGAGAGACTATTGGTGGCCTTGTATGAAGAGAGATGTTGCGTGGGTTATAGAGAGGTGCTTGACCTGTCGTCAGGTTAGGGCCGAGCACCAGTGTCCGTATGGAAAGTTGCAGCCACTTGAGGTTCCCCAGTGGAAGTGGGAACAAATTTCTATGGATTTCATCACCAAACTGCCAAGAACCCCAGGGGGTGTCGATGCAATTTGGGTGATTGTGGATCGATTAACGAAAAGTGCTCACTTCCTTTCTATCAGTGAGAGTTCTTCCGCAGAGAAGTTGACATAAATATATGTGAGGGAGGTAGTGTCTCGGCATGGGGTGCCTATTTCAATTGTATCAGATAGAGATGTATGTTTTACTTCCAAGTTCTGGAAGAAGTTTCATGAGGAGTTGGGTATGAGATTGCATTTCAGCACTGCTTATCACCTTCAGACCGACGGTTAGAGTGAGCGGACTATCCAGACACTCGAGGACATGCTTCGAGCTTGTGTATTAGACTTCGGAGGAAGTTGGGACACGTATCTACCTTTGGTTGAGTTTTCCTATAACAACAACCACCATTCGAGCATCGATATGCCTCCCTTCGAGCTGTTGTATGGAAGAAGGTGTCGGACTCCCATTTGTTGGGGAGAGGTAGGACAACGTGTGATGGTAGTACGAAGATAGGATTCCATACGAATGATCAGATTCAACAGATCAGGCAGAGGTTGCTGACGGCCCAAAGTAGCAAGAAGAGCTACGCTGATAGGCGTGGTTTAGAGCTCGAGTTTCAGGTTGGTGATTTCGTTCTCCTGAAGGTATCACCTTGGAAAGGTGTGATTCGATTCATGAAGAGAGGCAAGTTGGGACCTCGATATATCGATCCATTCAGGGTGACAACTAGGGTGGGCAGTGTAGCGTATCGTTTGGAGCTACTTGCCGAGCTGAGTCAGATTCATGAAACCTTCCACGTGTCTCAGTTGAGAAAGTGTATTGCCGATGAGTCAGCAGTGGTTCCATTAGAGGACATTCAGGTGGATGCGAGCCTGAATTATGTTGAGAGGCCAATCTCGATCCGAGATAGGAGAATCAAGGTTCTAAGGAACAAGGAGGTGTCCCTAGTTCAGATCCAGTGGCAACATCGGAAGGGGTCCGAGCTGACTTGGGAGCCGGACTTAGAGATGCAGGAGCAGTATCCAAAATTGTTTGCAGAGCGACACTTCGGGGGCGAAGTCTGATTCTAATGGGGGAGAATTGTAACATCCGGGATTTCAGGTATTATTTTTATCATTTTTTTTGGAGTCTAAGAGAGAGAGACTCGACGAGTTGATGTCTAGACTCGTCGAGTAGGGTCGCGTGATGATGACTAGATTAATGAGTGGACTTGATGAGTCGGCAAGGGGACTCGACAAGTCCGTGCTGGCGACTAAAACCCTAATTTCCAGGGTTTGAGCCCTATTTAAAGGACCTTATAGCCCTTCATTGCGGCTACCTTCGTCCTTGAGAGCACCAGAGCATCTGAGAGTCCATGTGAGTGAGAAAAGAGGCCATTGTTAATCATCCTTGTGTGTGTTGGCAAGAAGGGAAGAGGAAGGTCAAGCTAGGAGAGTTGGGGAGCATGGATCTACTTTCATTTGGGTAGAGGAAGCTATTTAAGGTATTATTTAGAGCTTATTCTCATGTTTTATTACTATAATCAAATCTAGGGTTTCTTCATGCCTTGATTAGTTTGTATTTGGAGTGTGAGAAGTCCCATGGGGAATTGATACCTAGATCTGGACCTTAGAAGGTCCAGAGAGTCCCAAATGCTCTGCTTTATGCCTTTCCCTTTGAGTTGTGGACTTAGGTTACCATTTTAGAGGTCATTTCACCAAAAAAAGCCTTGTAGGTGTTGCATGGGTGCCAAGATGTAACCTTTACGTGATTATCATGTTTGGGAAGGTCAGATCTATAGATTAGAGAAACAGATCTGACCTCAGAAGACCATTTGAGTTCGAGCATGGAATGAACTCGCCGAGTGCATGAGCAGACTCGACGAGTCGGACCGGGTTGTCATGTGACTTACACAATTGGTAACTCGCTGAGTTGGGGAAAAGACTCGGTAAGTCAGTTGGGATTTAGGGGACTGGATTTCATGTTTGAACTCGCCGAGTCAGTGCCTGACTCGATGAGTTGGGTCAAGGGGGGGTGGCCATTGATCAATGTTGACCAGAGTTGACTTGTGTTGACTTAGGGCATTAGTCAAATTAAGTTAGGAAGGTATTAATTAAAGATGTAATTATGCTATAGGAGGAAGCTAGGTCGGAGGATTGAGAATGAGTGATTATCTGACATGTTCGAGGTGAGTCTTCTCACTATGCCTTACCCCATGGGGTGATTATGTGTGACCGGAAGGTCTTATGTGTATGATAAAAATGTGATGCATGTTGTATATGTAATATGTTATGATATGAATATGATGATATGGACCCGAAGGTCAACAGAACATGAACCGGAAGGTCAACAGAGTTTGGGATGGAAATCCCCTGAGACACTTATATCGGAAGATCCCATAGAGCTATGGCCTGGAAAGGCGTGTGTGCTGTACGTGGTATTTTGTGGAACTCACTAAGCATTATTGCTTACCGTTTTCGTGTTATGTGTTTCAGGTACCAGTGATGATCGCAGGAAGGCGCCGACATGATCAGTACACACTTATGGTGGAGATATTTTGAGATTCTGGGGATTTTGATTTGCATTTATGTTATGTAAAAACAATTGATACATGTTTTCGAGAATTATGATTGGAGTATTTTTATTAAAATAAAAAATGAAAATTTGTTTTGAAATTTCGTTGTTACATAAACCATGATTTCTTGAATCTTGAGGTGACCATGTTTTGACTTTTTCATTAATGGTGAGGCAGTGGAATTCAGACATGTGGCATATTTCTGGAATGGAAACCGGTCTGGATATTTCAATGTTTAGCTAGAAGAATATGTTGAGGGTGATAGTGGAATTACATTTAATGTTCAACCAAAGTTGAAAGCTTTGGAGATTGATCAGAAGGCATGTGATGCTATCCTTTGTGGAAGATTTTATCAGGTAAAAAGCAATTTTTTGAATATTTTTTTAAATACAAATTCAAAAATAGAAACGAAATAAATTAAAAGTAGGTTGTTATTTGTTGCATTTAGGTGCATTTGAACATACCAAATGGTGACATGGTTGGGCATATCAGTGTTGTTGAGGCTAGTGTTGTACCATGCAAGACTGCTAATGATGCTGTTAAGGTAAAAAAAAAGATGTATTAGAAAATTGTTAATTTGTTTTATGTTTTTTATTGTATATTGTAATGACCCAATTTTGAAGGCCAAAAATTTCATTTTTGAATTAACGCATTTAACAAACATTTTACCAAAACATTGTCAATAAAACATCCATTACAAAATCATAATGTTGTATTTCAAACCATAACATCATAAGTATTGAAAATCAAAGTACAGTCCCAAAAAATTCTTGTGGAAACATGTGTGTGTGTGTGTGATGCACTGCTACACCGCCGACTCCTTCCCCTTCAACGAAGAGGTACCTGAAACTAAAACTGTAAACTGTAAGCATGAAGCTTAGTGAGTTTCCCTCATCATACCACATACCATACAATATCCTTGGTATCTTTCAACTGGTAATCTTCATCGGTATCATTCAACCGGTAACCTTCATCGGTATCTTTCAACCGATAACCATCATCGGTATCTTTCAACCGGTAATCAACATCGGTATCTTTCAACCGGTAACTGGGGACTATTTCACCCCCTACTTCTAGCATACAATCAACAGATATAAGCATACAATAAGGCATATCCGGGTACTGACCTACCCTTGGGTCCTAAGGACCACTGTCAGGGAAACTAATCCCTACCATACACATAACATACTACTCAGATAAACCTCATAACCAACACATAACTAGACCAAGATAATTATCACAAAGACCATTATCTTTTAAATACCCCTTTTTGGTGGGCCGACATTGTGGCTTTAGACCCACCCCTAATGGAAGTTAACTCACCTCAATATCGTCCAGTGTCTGAACTATCCTCGGCGCACAAGTCGACTCCCTACGACTCCTCGATCCCTACACGACAACCTTCAAATCAACACACATCACATACAAACCTAAACAGGGTCAGTCCAAGTTCAGTCAAAGTCAACATTCAGTTGACCTGACTTGCCGAGTTGGCCTACCAACTCGTCGAGTCCATGCTTCTCTAATCCCACACAAAACCCTATCTCCACTTGTCGATTCTAGCAAAAACTCGACGGGTTCTCCTTCAATCATAACATCGAGACCATCTTCATCTGACTCGCCGAGTTCCTTCTTGAACTCGTCGAGTTCATCTCCAACTTAAGAACTTGTCCAGTATATGACTCGACGAGTTGTATGAACAACTCATCGAGTCCATCTTCAAAGATGTGAGATTGCTATGGACTCGCCGAGTCTGCTCATACCACTCGCCGAGTCCCATGGCTTCCAGGTCCCTTTTCGCGTCTAAACCCACAAGGGAATTCCTTCTTAAGACCTACCCATACACAAAAAGGGTTTGGTTCACAATGGTCACCGACTCATCCAGTGCCATGAATAACTCGCCGAGTCCAACCTTGACCAATTCCATACAGTCGTTTTAAATGAGGTCTAACACACCAAAACCATAGATCTGCCTCCTAATGTCCATTTTATACGTAAGGTTCCAAACTTAATGCACATGCATGGGGTTTTTAGCTAAAAAAATCCATATAAAGTGTCCTACAATGTGCATGGGGCTCTCATGCCCTAAAGCTAGCACCTTTATGCCATGAAACCCCTCTTAAGGCCCAGATCTGAAGTCAAAACCCACTCAACACTTCGAAATCCGAAAAATGACTTAGAAATCCATGGAGGTCCCAAGTTAAAGATGAATAAACACATCGGTGAGTCAAGACAGGGGCATTATACCTTAAAGCTGCTGAAAATGAAGTAAGATCTCTAGATCTACAAGCCCCAACTCAATTTCCAAGCTCCTTTCTTCCTTCCAAGCTTTACAATCCACACTAGAACACCAAAAATGACCTTAAATCACACACAAACAGCTAGGGTTCGATATGGAGCTTTCAAGAGAGTGTTAGGGACAAGGGGGGCTGAGTTAAGTTGTTTATATAGGGTACAAACCCTCAGATTTAGGGTTTCACTTATCCACCACCTACTCGCTGAGTCGGTCACTTAAAATGTCTGCAGCCACGTCCCTACTCGGCAAGTTGATCCTCCAACTCGTCTAGTCACAAAGAAAAAAACATACCAGGTGTTACATATATGAAGGGGTTTAATTTTGTGAAACAAATGATCTTGGATGCAGTAGATCAAGTGGGTGGAATATTTGTGGTGACTGTTGATCATGGTAATGCTGCGGACATGGTGAAGATGAACAAGAAGGGAGAGCCTACTCTTCATAAAGAAGGAAATGTTCAAATTTTAACCTCTCATACTCTTCAGCCAGTAAGTTAGCGGTAACTCCTATTTCAATTTATTTCTTTCTACTCCAACATTACACTTACGCTTTACCTTTTTGTTTTCATATTATGGCGTTTTACTTTCAAAAAGCTACATAATGTACTAAATTACTGTTAGAAAAAGGATGAATAGATTGCTTGGATTCTCTGAAAGTCGTGATTCACTATCAAATTGAAGTATTTCGATGGTACAGATCAAACACTCAATTGGATGAAATTCAGAGAATGAAATCTGAGAATGTATATGAAAATGTTCTTCAACATGTACCAGAATATTGACCAAAAAACGGATATATCAATCCTGTCTGAAAACTGTCAACAGACAGTTAGAAACTGTCATAAAACTAACAAACTGTCATTAAACGGATGTCATGGAGTAAAGGGTCAACTTTCTAAAATTGGATTTTTGATGCAATTTTTAATATAGCAACATAGTCCAAATAAACAGACAGCTCGATCCCAGCCAGGGGCTCTGCCCCTTGGACCCCGCCAGGGGCTGCCGCCCCTGGGACCCCGCTCCCAGGGGCGCTGCCCCCGGACCCCCGTTCGTTTAGGGGCTTCGCCCCTAAATAGCAATGTACTTTAAATCTTGAAAAACTTGAACAAGTGTGCACTCCTACACCATCCTAACTTGTTCAATATTCAACAAGATCACTTTTTGTTAACAAATTTAATCCTATTACACTTAAATAATATTTGATGATATAAAATCACCAACAATTACCATATCAATAAAATTCACTTTCTTTAGATTAAATGCTCAATTGCGGTGGTAAAGTGGTTTCATGCTTTATATTTATGATGTTCAACAGGTGTTTGATGAAATAACACGGGAAGGTTAAAGCTCACACCTGTAAAGGTAACACAGTTCTATCATGTATATTAGACTTACAAAGATTGTAACGACTAAATAATATGCACTTATGTACCTGTTAACTACGAAGGTATGTAAATAGATGGAAAAGTTGGATTTTTTTTTATTTAACAATTAAAAATTAACTATGAATAATTATAGGTTTAAGATTTCACGGTATATATTTTTTTCACTTTTTGAAACAATCTTTTTAAAAAAAAAAAAAAATTGATCAACAAAGTTTTTTTTTTTTTTTTTTTTTTTTTTTTTTTTTTTTAACAAGGGTAAGACCCCAAACTTCTATGAATAATTTTTTGATCTTACTTCTATGTTTAAGATTTCATCGTATTTAATTCATTTAAAAACATCATTTTTTTGAAGTGATAAATTAACTTTCATGTTTTTGAAGTGATAAACAAACTTTCATATATGACTACCTTTTTGGCAACAAGGGTCCCCATTTTGAATTAAAATTATCAAGTTTTGAATTTCATCTAATTCTTTTTATTTAGAAAATATTGATGTTTATAAATTTTCTTGATGTTTGATTCAGACAGTTTTGGGAAATTGATAACTTTTTTGGCTTTACAGTTTACATCTTTCACTACTTTTGAACCTATACCTTATGTGACCTTATGGTCCTAACTATCTGTTTGGACAAATTTTATGCAGACTTTCTACTAATATTATAGTTTAAGTGTCCTAATCTTATTTTGTTTTCAATAAAATTTGTGACTATTTAATAGTAGTTTAAGTGTTTCTCACAACACTTGGGCTGAAAAAAACGCTATCTACAAACACTCATGTATGCAAAAAATAGCAACGTACTTTTACTTGAAACAAAAGTTAAAACTTGAATGCTATAATTAGAATAACTTTTTTTTTTCATGTTCTATATATATAGAATTTAACTATGGGTGGACCAACTTGGGATATTGGAAAAGTGTTATGAGAAAAAAAAACAATTTTTCTTAATTGTTCTAGATTTGCAGGCAGGAAATCTGTAACAAAATTTTATTTATCTATTTATTTTTTTCAACAGGGACTTCCAATAACATTTGCAATAGGAGGGACTAATTTCTGAAATTAGACTGACATCGTTTGTTTTATTCCTTGATTTCATTGATTCTATATGTAGTTTTCACTTTTTGCCTGTTTATTTCAATGTTGGAAAATCTGATTACATATTACATAGTTTTATAGCATTTGACCATTTTACAATTTTGTAGTCATATATGAAGTGGCGAAAATGATCGGAGCTGTCCAAATCCATCCCCGCAAAGCGGGTTCCTCATCTAGTTCTTATTATGAGTAAGTGATTTTGCAAATTATTATTATTATTATTATTATTATTATTATTATTATTATTATTATTATTATTATTCATTTTAGACCACTTATTATAATATTTTTTTTTTATAAAAGACTAAAAATTTATATTTAAAGTTTTTTCTTATATTTATCTCACATTAACTAAAAAATTTATGTAACAGATAATGAGATTTTTCAAAATAATGTATAGATAGATAGATAGAGATACTATTAATTTTTAAAGGAGATATTCGTGTGTGTATATCGGATTTTCCAACTTGAACTATAAATATCATATTTTCCTCATTTATTTTTTAAAATATCAAATTTGCCCATATCGATTTTTTAAATAATTTTTATTATTTAATGATCATTTTTTATATATTAAAATAAAAAAAAAAAACCAAATGGGTCATAATACCTTTGTCTTCTAAATCATTGGAATCAATTACCTGGAGATTTCTCAACACAATCAATTAAATCATATAACCCTTACCGCATCTTTGTTTTTTTCACGTCTTCTACCAATTCTTTGCTGCAATCGAATAATCATCAGGTAATTTTATGTTTTTTATTTGTTAACTGATTATTCAATTTGTGATCAGATAGCATTTGCAACTAATGAACTTATGTGCAATACAAATTCTTGAGAATTGAACCTAATTTACAATAAAGAGTGAAAATGATGATTGTCTCTTATTTATCATAAGACAAAGTTAATGAAAGAATGAAAATAAATTGCACAAATAATGAATTCTCAAGAGGTCCTGCTGTGATTAATCTGTTTAACGTCCCAAAAACCATGGTAATTTTTTTTTTCATTTTTAAAAAGATATTTTCATAAACTCCAAATAATAATCAAACATTGTTTCCATGAAAACCCATAAAATCAGAGTATCAAAACCATCTCTCACAAACATAAAATAGCAAGAGGATGTGTACGATCATGCGTTCGTCTTGTCCCGATCATCTAAGGTATCTAAGAACATTTAAATTCATAATTGTAAGCCAAAACTTAGTGAGTTCCCCCAAAATATCTCAAACAACAATACATATACAATGCATGCACATGGGGTCCATAACATGCGACTGGATTGCCTCCGAGCTTACATCATAAGACTGGATTGTCCCCTCTTGTGCCCTCAACTTATCATCGGCTTGCTCCCGAGCTCGAAACATAATACTAGATTGCCTATCTCAGACCCTCAGCTTATAACTGGATTGCTCCTTGATTTTGTTGACTTATAGCACAAAGAAGTACCACCTCAACCCAACCATACTATGTTTACATATATACAAACAGTAACAAGCAAGTACATATAATCATAGCATATCTATCAGTATAATATAACTGTAACACCATAATTTCAAATTAATTTAAATAGTTATAATCATGGGTCAAAAATAACATCTTGAGGTTGTAAATTCAAATATTTGAATTCCAATAGATAATTTTATATTTCAGGACTAAGTATTAAGGTGTATGAAATGAAATTGTAATTACTTGAATGTCAAATCAATGATAGTTGGAGTTATGAGGAACCGAACTGAGACTTGAGGACTTAAAAGTCATAATATTGCAAAGAGGGGCAACAGAGCTACCGTTTCAAACCTACGGACATAAAGGGAAATGTTTTGGGTTGAATTGGGGGCCTTAGGTTCGAATTTGTTCAGCCAATTAAGTTAAGAACCCTTAAAAACAACTTAACCCTAATATCCATTTTGCTTGGAATTCCGGTTTTTGAAGACCTTTCAGTAGTGTTCAGACGATCCCCAGAGATTGAACCGTTGAATCATCAAGAAATTTGAAGTAAAGCTTCCTAAGACATATGTTAAAGTTTTTACCATTGGAATTGTAATTTCAACGTGTATAGCTCGAGTTACAAGTCGTCGACCGTGACAACAATTTTACGGTTGTTGTCAAAATCCTTTTAGGTACAAGGCTTGTATGGAGCTTTCAATCTCAACAACGAACGTATGATCTTTTGACCATTGAATTTAAATGTCTTATAAGTCCTAGGGCTGATGTTCTATAGACCTATAAGATGTTAATCAGACTTGAGACTTAATGGGTTGAGTGGATTGAATCATAACCCTAGTTTTATCTTTCTGAAAAATAGACCAATCTGTCCATATCTTTGTGAGACCATATCTCGATCATGAGAAAATCTTTTTAGTTGAAACAAAATCATATTGTTTCTTTTTTGAGTTCTCTACAATTCATTAGTTCTGACCAAAGTCCAAAAATGTGACTAACCAGGGTGAAATCGACCATTTACCCAATGGTTTTGCAATGCAATTTTGTAAAAATCACCAAAAATTGTAGAAAAATTGTTCAGAGGTGTGCAAATACTAATTTTAAAGATAAGAACATGAACTACATTCATGTAAAACAGTTTTGAAAAATAAGGTGTAAGTTAGGTAAAACAGGTCCCGAACACACCAAAACTATTATGTATAAATCTGAAAAAAATAACCCGTGAGTCATTATACCTTTGAGATATCAAAGACAATAATTTAACTCTATTTGTTATTATTAGGAAGCTTGAAAGTTGAACTGGTGTAAAGGGTGTCTCGAGATACTTTGTAGAGTGTTTTGCTATTGGAGGTGAGTTCCTCACTTCATAACCTTAGGGTATTATATGTCTACTGTTAGGTCAGGTGAGACTAAGAACTATATGATTGATAGTTAAAGTAATACTTGTAGCATTATTTATAGTTGATGTACTTATTTGTTATGTGGAATGTATAAGTATGATATGTTTGGACTCAACGGCTGAATACGGAGTCAATATGTTTGGACTTGATGGTTGAATACAGAGCCGACTTAC